AAGATTTGGTGTTATCTTGATACTTTAAGTCTTGAGTGCTTGTATGATTGTTGATTGCTTTTGATTTGGTTTGTAATTCCTTAAGGTGGAACCATTTAAGCATGAGCCTTAGGGGGAACTTAATGGATGTATGTGTTAAGTCTTTACTTAGATACATATTTTCTAGTTGGTTGATGAATTGAAGTATGCATTAGAGCTTAGAATCTTGTTTGGTGCTACTTGATTGTTGATGCTAGACCTCTACACCTAGGTGTTTGGTAGGCTTTTAAGCCATTTTACTTTGTTGATTTTCCCTTTTTTGCTCTTTGTATGTTCCCTTAGGTACACTTGGGTCATCTTTGAATCAAGGTAGACAATAAGTTTTTACAACCATGCATGCTAATATTAGGTAGTTTTCCCTTTGTTAATCCTAATTTTAGGACCACCATTACATGATAACATTATGAATTAAGATTTCCTTAGATTTTTTATTCTCCCTCAAAGTTTGTTAAAGGTGAAAAATGGAAAAGTGAAAAGTAAAATGGAAAATCCATTGATCATATATGGAAATGGATGAAAGAGTGAAATGAATGGATTGATTTCAAAAACATGCATGCTCATTTTATTTGAATCACTAGTCAAAAGATACAAATTTACACCAAATACAACTTAGCAACTTGGAAATTACAATTTGAAATTGATAAAGTCTAATGATCCTATGGTAGAGCTTCTTTGTTTGATCCACTTGACTTTAGGAGATACTTATTAGTTCTTGGACTTGTCAAAGTATGGGGGTGACCATTGACTTTTCTTGGGCATACCTATTATGTGGGGGAATTTTCTCTTGTCGATATTGTTGATAGTTGCATTTGAGGCGTTGTGTAGGCAATTTCCTTGTATGAAGAAGAGCTACCTTATATCCTCAATAATATTTTTAGGACCAAGCTCAATTTAGTCTCCAATGTTTGACTTATCCTTCATTAATCGAGGATTTTATTGGATTCCTTCACAACTTTCTTGAAGCATGCTTGGAATTTGTTCTTGAGCATCGGGAAATCCGCTAACTGAATTGATGTTGAACAATGGTGAAGGTGGAAATGCATGAAATCCAAATGTATGTAACTGTAAATGCAATTCAATACAGGTGTAGGATAAAGATAAACATAAGGGTAGTCTTCACGGGACAAACCTTAGTTTCAAGGATTATGATAAACCTAAGGACATCTAAACGAGTTTAGCAATAGAGTTGGAGCTAATGAAATCCCTACGGGTTAAGGATTGACAAACCTAAGGAAACCTGGATGGAAGGGAGGACACTCTATACTGACTTAGCGATTGTGACAGACAAAATGAAACTCCTTAAGGATTATGGATAATGAAATACAAAGAGGAATCTCTACAAGCTAGAGATTATAACAGAGGGACGGGAATTCCTACAGGCTAGGGATTGGAATTGACAAATAGGAGTCCTACGGGATAGGAATCATGATAGACCAATGGAAAATTGAGATGAAGGTTTAACCGAGGGAATATCATGGAAGAGAGCACATGGTGATATGTCAACAGTCACCAGATCCCGTGGCCTACTAGAGGTCACGTGGCGATCATTGGCAAGGACGTCCTTTGTGGGAAAGTTCCATATCAAGAACAAGATCCTATAAAGGTTATGAAAAGACAAAAGGAATCCATATAGGCTAGGGATTGTAACAGACAAATGGGAGTCCCTATGGGTTAGGGATTATGATATACAAAATAAACTCCTACAAACTAGGGATTATGATAAGCAAAAAGGGAACACTTATGGATTTAGGGTAGTGAATACCCTATATGGATTTAGGGATAGATATAGAGACGAGGATTCACTTACGGGTTAAGATGATAGGATGTTAAATAGAATAATCTATAGGAGGGTTCTGATAAAGGTTCTAAGTTTTTCTACCCAACCTCATAGGGTGGCTTCCTTAAGGGTATCATGGATAACGCTAAAGTGAAAGGCACAGGGGTCTCCCTTAAGTGGAGCCTCTTTGTAGACCGAATTTTTCGTCTCTTAGGGTGTATAACGTCTCACCATGAGATTTATTTTAGGGTTATACAAAGAGTAATAGGATTCATTCCAAAGTCCTACCCCACGAAGAGGCTAGATCTTGAGAGATGTTCCTTTTCCGGAATTCCACGGACTCTAGGTGAAGTCGTCATAAAAACTCAATGGGATGATGTATCCCCTTGGCTAATAGACGATCCTTCTTTCTATGGTTTTGAATTTTTTTAAAATTTAAAATTCCACCAACAATGATAATAAAGATAATGTAAACAAATAATATAACAAATGAATAAACCAAAAATAACATATATAGAAACAAAAGCATACCAAAAATAGAAAAGAAACCCTAGAAAAACCCTAAATCTAAAAAGAGAGAAGTTTCTAAACCATAGGGTTGTATCCCCAGCAGAGTTGCCAACTGTAATAACCGGCAAAAAGTATAGAATCGACACCATTAATATTTAATCTAAGACGAGAATATAATAGAATAACCCTAATTGATGATACAAAGATTCTAAGTTCTTGACTCACTTTAGACGAAGGGAAGGTGTTAGGCACCATTCATCTACCTTGTTTACAAGGATACTAGGGTTTAGGTTTAGGGTTTAGGAATAGGGTTTTAATTTTTTAGTTAATGGAAAAGGGTTTTAGTCTTTTAATTAGGTGACTCACCTTGGTTTTTAAGTCGCGTTCCTACGTATCTTCTTATGAAGAATCAAAGTCCCATTTCGTAGTTCATAGTGTTTTGTTGTATTTTTTATGGATTGTGAAAATATTTTGAATTAATCTTTGAACCAAGTCTGAGTTTGAAAATAGCAGAATCGTAGACGCAATTCGCAATTAATAAAAGAGGTCTTCACAATCCTTTTTAAAAATATATTGATTTTTTAGGTTAGTAGAAAAATGTTAGTGTTTGATTGGTTAGCTATTTTAAATGTGTATGCAACATGAGAAAATAAATTTGAAATATGTTAAATATTTTTAATAAAAAAATCTAATAATTATATAATAATTATGAAAAAATTATTTAATATAAAAATGCAAAAAAGATATGATATTTAAATAAAAAATAAGAAAATAAGATCAATTAAAACAAGAAAATACAATTAAATAAATAAATTAATTAAAGCATGTGCCAGACTAAAATATGGAGGCGTATTAAAAAAATATTTGGACCCAAAGAAATTTTGAGTCTGAATAGCTGGGGGTGCATTTTATAACTAGGAATTAATTTACAAGGGTGTGGAAAGTAAGGGTCCAAGTTCAAAAATTGAACTCGACCTAATTTGCACAGGAGGGGTGTATATTGGTTAGGGTAGTAATTTCTGGGGTATGAGTAGCAATGAGTTTGAGATCTGATTTATTTCTAAATGAATATAATTAACTTCTATAAGGTAAGTAATTAAATAAATATAATTAAGTTATATAATAATAATGGAAAAAGAACAAACAAAAACTAAAATTGAAAATAACTTGTAAAGTGAGGAAAAACCACTCACTACACGAATGTCTGAAAGAAGTCGATCTTTCAGCTATCTATTTGTAGAGACAATTGAAAAAAAGAGCTCGTGGGTGTTTGTTCTTAGGTCATTGTCTGTTCAAGACAACAATCCAAATATTGTTGACAATTCTCTAAAAGATTATTGATTCTCCAAATGATTGTTGATGGAAAAATTTTATGTGTTCTATTCAAAACCCTAAAATTAATCAAAAGAGTAGTGTAGAAAGAATGTTTGTGAGAAAGAGAGATAAAAAATTGTTGATGTCATTGTTGATGATAAATTATGGTGAACAAAGCCCTATTTATAGAATTAGAAATTAGGTTAAAAACACCAAAAAGGAAATTATCCGACATAAAAAGACTAAGTTTTGTAGATTATATCTTGGTCAGCTAGTCTACAAACTCTGACCAATGAGAAATCAGTTTTGTCAACATGTGACAAATCAGAAAGTGTCAAATCATGTAATTTTGTTGTTTTTTTATTTTATATAATTTGGTGGTTATTTTTTAAATAAAAATTGAAAAAAGTGGAAAAAAAACTATTTTTGAAAATTTATTAATTAAAAAATATGAAAATAATAATTTAATAATAAAAAAAAGTGATTTTTTGAAAAGATTTATACCAATTGAGACTTGATTGAAATTTGGAGGACAAGATTATTAACCTAGACACTTTTGTGATTTTTTCTCAATATTATGATTGATTTGGTGATTAATAAAAATTGATTTTGAAATATTTCAATTATTTTTAACATCTTGACTATTAAGTGTATAAAATCAAAGATTTTAAAAAAATAATTTTTTTTTTAAAATACCTTTAAAATAGAAAACGAAAATAATAATAAAATAATTGAAAAATGATTTTTTATTTTTTTTATTAAAAAACATACAAAAGAATATAAATACTAAAAAGGAGTGTAATGAGACTTGAACTTAAGATATTCCACTTACAAGTCTTTCTTTCTTACCAAATGAGTTATGTCATTCTATTCAAAACCAAAAAACACATAGAAATATATGAAGGTGGAAAAATATTTTACTATTTTAAAAATACAAATAATATAAAGTAAATTATTATATATTTTAAATAAGCAAAAATAAATTATTGTTAAGTCAAATGTGATTAATACTCAACAAATTTATGAAACTAAATTTAAAAATGAGGCGGACAAATTTGAGGTATGACAACTCCGTGAAGTACCATGGACATGAGGGGTGTTAATACGTTTTCCTTACATAATCGATTCTCGTACCCTTCTCTTAGTTGTAAGACCTTATTTTCTCTTAAATTTATTCGATATTTTTCTTTCTCTTCTTCAGAATTAATAATATTCAATAGCGACTTTATTATATTTTTTTTTAATTGCTTCAAACATCTTTCATCGATAAGCCTTCACTAGTTATCCATTGTAGTAGGCTTGGGACATCTTCTCCTGAATGACGACTAGAAAAATTTTGCACTACAGACCGCTCTAAGAAATGAAGGGCAGAGGAGACAGAAGTAACATGATTTACAAGGATTGAGCCCGTTTGAAAAACCACCAAGATAGCGACTTCGAAAGGTGAATTGGTAGTTGTGGATACCCTTTTCATTTGGAGCATCATCTTGTATCATTTGATATTGTCTGCAATCAGAAGTGATAAATAAAAATTGTAAAAATATCCGAATTAAAATAAGTAAGAGAAAAAAGAAAAACATTTTATTTCCATAAAATAATTCAACTTATAATATAAAATAATTCAACTTGTAATATAAAATAATTCAACTTATAGTTTTTCATATCCATAATCTACATTGTGCAAAATATTTAATTTTGAATTTGTTTTAAAAAGTAAAAAGAAGCATTATCCAATTCAATCCATTGTGATAAGTTGTTCGAGACTTATCAAGATGTGTGAATAGAAAGGATATGTACGCACGAATCCATGTGTTTGGTGAGTCACGGTGTCGAGAACACACATATTCTATCCTTTATAGCCAACTAACCAATAATAATATAATACATAGACATTCATTTTTTATACACACACGACATCATTAAATTAATTGAATAAATAATAATAGCTAATTTAACTAAGTATATTAACGGTATTTTTTGCGTATAATAATTTAATATCTTATGTGAAAGAAAAAATGGGTGCAAATTAAAACTATTTTTAAGTAATAATTATCGTAAGGGCGACAAAAAGACGGTCAAACATATCTGTTTTATTTTTTTTATGCGGATTAAAATTTTAAATCTATACTCTTTAATACCTTCGTTCTATTTTTTATCAGCTTTTATGGATATGATTTTACATCACAAATCAAAATTTTAAAGTTGTACTTTTAAATATATTAGTCCATTTGGTGTCATTTATTTGAACTTTTACATAACAGACTCAATAAGACGGACATACTCATTTATCAGTGTTAAGATCTGCATTTCATATATGGCCAATGTGAGATGAGTCATAGTTTGAAGCTACATTTATCTACTTTTGACCATTTATCTTCTATGTCCATTTTTATATTCTTCATGTAGTTCTTGCCAGCACGATATAACATCATCATCTCATGTGTTTTTTTCTTTCTTTTCTTTTATTAATTAATTGTCAATGGACCACATTTCTTTTCTCATCCATTAGTATTTTCCATCATTGATTGTTTCAAAATAGCATTTGTTCCATTGTTCTTATTCCCCATCACCAATCCTATAAATACCTCAATCAACTAACTCATATTCACATAAAGAGCACTAGCAAGTTATTGAACTTTATTTTATTAAAAAAGTAAGTTATCGAATTAGCCATGCTTTTAATATTATAACATTTTATAGTATTATCTCTTAGAAAACATGAATAAATATTGAGGATACATAATAATTATTTTTTGTTTATCTTAGTGGTGCAAACTAAGGATGGAACTGTTGTTGCAGTAGCTTCTGCTTTTTCTGGCCACAAGCAAGGTAATAATATTTCATAACAGTTTAGTTTTGATTTTGAATAATATTTTTATTTGTCACTTATTATTTTTAACTCTGGTTAATTAGCTATAAAGGATAGAGACCATAAATTTTTAAGAAAAGCAGTTGAAGAAGCATATAAAGGTGTAGATTGTGAAGATGGAGGTCCTTTTGGTGCTGTTATTGTTTTTAATGATGAAGTTGTTGCTAGTTGTCACAATATGGTTCTCAGAAACAATGACCCTACTGCTCATGCTGAAGTCACTGCAATAAGAGAGGTTAGATTATATAAATAGGTCAAATCATTTTCTTAAATTATATTAAAAGGTATATTTTATTTGTCAATAAATTCTATCTCAATAGATTGAACGTTATTATTAGAGTTTAAACTTTAATATTTACGCTTGTATGTAACTTTTTAATTAAGTATATGTGAATATTTGATAGTTAAAAATAAAATTATATTTATATTTTCATAACTCTATAAGAGCGATAAATCTGATTCTTTTATCAATTTTTTTTTATTAAAATGTTTTATAGGCATTTAATTTTCTTTTTATTAGAAAAAATTATGATATTATTGTAAATTTTTTGAATTAATTAAAATTTTACAAAATGACATGATTTTGCAGGCTTGTAAGAAACTGAAGCAGATAGAACTCTCTGATTGTGAAATATATGCTTCTTGTGAGCCATGCCCAATGTGCTTTGGTGCTATTCAACTTTCACGTGTTAAGGTTTTAATTAAATTCCTAATATTATTCTTTTTTTTCTTCTTAATTTTATTAATCTTGTGTTATTTTTGTTTAGTATTATTCTGTATATTATAAACAAATATTTTTTTATATATAAAATTTATTGAATAAATGATGTATCTTATTTATATATTCATATTAGATACATCAATTATTTGGTAACTATAAAAATTTTGTAATTTTTATAATATATATTATTTTTTATCTAGAGGTTGGTTTATGGAGCAAAAGCAGAAGCAGCAATTGCGATTGGTTTTGATGATTTTATAGCTGATGCATTACGAGGAACTGGATTTTATCAAAAAGCACATTTGGAAATTAAAAGAGCTGATGGCAAAGAGGCCATTATTGCTGAAGAAGTGTTTGAGAAAACTAAGGAAAAATTTCGAATGTATTAATTAAATATGTTATTTTTCTAAGTGTTTTTTAAACAACTGATGATAATTTGTTTTGTATATAAATAAGCTTGTTACCATCATCTGTATTAGAAGTATCCTATGTGGAGAGTCAAAGTAATTTATGTAGTAGAAGAAAATTTGTTTAAATCCATGTATTGCTGTTTTATCTATTATGTAATTGGATTATGATTTTCTTCATTTTCTTCATTTTCTTGTGATATGATTTGAATCAATACACCAAGCCAAGTATGCATCTGAGTAGCCAAGGATTTGAAATTCCGAGTTTCTATAGAACATGAAACCTCTACGTATGTACTTCAAATATTTAATAATTATACCGACAACTTGGTAATGAATCATGGTAGGATTATGGAGGAATTAACTTAGTTGTAATGAATCATGGTAGGATTATGGAGGAATTAACTTAGTTGTGATGGAATATTTTAGTGTAACCAAAATTATAGATATAATTGTATGTCGTATCATAATAAAAATAATGTAATAAATATGTTTTCTTTGTTGAATTCATTTACTTGAGAAAATTGAGAATGCTAATGTTTTGTTTTTGATTGATGGAACGACTATGCTTGATATCTGATCTAATGAGATAGTTAAAATATATAACTACCAGATGAGAGAAGGGATTTCTTAGTAGATTAGCCAAAAGAATGAACCAATCTATTATATGTCATTCAACAGTTAAGTCTAATACAATATTCATTTTTATTTAATCAAATTAATAATTGATATAATAATTATATTTTATTTAATAGTAAATTAAAGTAAATTCATAAAATATTTAACATTCTATCACTTGAATGACTTTAATTAATTACTAAAATATAATAATAATTATAAATAAATATATCAATCATTTATCATCAAAACAGTGTGAGAAAAAAATAAATTTAACAATGCATAAATTATATCCGATAGGGAAACAAATCCTACATGTCAAATACTCACATTTAACATAACGATTGTGAATATGAATTAATATAATATAATTAAGTTTGTAATCTAATAATGGCCCAAACATCTGAAACGCGGTAAGAGATATGATTAGTAAATTGACGTCAACATATACATATCTCATTATAATAATTAAATACAACAACCAGACTCCCACTAATCCAGAATATCAAATGACTTAACTACATCTATGTTGGTTGCATGCCTTTGAAAAATACCAACATTTAAGCCTTTGGTCAGTAGATCTACCAATATGTTCTCTGTGGCAAGATGTTCAATTCGAGTCTAAAATTCAAGAATTTTCTCTCTAAAAAAAGATACTTAATATCAAAATGCTTTGCGCGAGAAAAGCTCTTAGTGTTCTGAGTGAAATGTACTTTAACAAAATTGTCGCAATATATCACAAGTGGCCTAGATATGCTTTCAACAACTTTGAAGCAAGAAATTAAGTTTGAAGGATAGAAAAACACAAGAAAGGGGGTTTGAATTAGGGTTTCTCAAAAATTAAAACAATATAACACATTGGTTATCCTGGTTCGTTTGAACTTAAAGCTACTCCAGTCCACCCGTCAAGGTGATTTCGCCTCTCTCAATCGAGGTCTTAATCCACTAATAAAAATGATTAAAAAATCACGAAGACAACTATCAACATCTTCTTGAGATCAAACCACAACTCAATTTCTCAAGGAAATATAATCTTAAACAAATATACAATGTGTTTATAATTGCTTCTAACAAGCTATATCACAACTGTGATGTTTACAAAAATTATAGCACTAAGAATAACTTAAGAGACAAAATATATGAGAGTGTTTGGTGTGCTCTTCTTCGTATGCGTGAGTGTATATTCGATCCATCTTCATCGTCCTCTTTATATAGAAAAGATTCAGATCCGTTGGAGACATATAAACTTATTTTTGGGAGGTTGATGATTTGAGGTTTTAATATTCTTTCCAAAAATACAGATTTTGTTCTCAGTCATAATGTTCCAGCTGTTACTTTTTTGATTATGTATTGATTGTCATGAGTGTGATGTTGGATAAGAAAGTCTTCAGAACTTTGAGTGCTTGGTCTCAGAACTTCAATATGGTGTATACATTGAGACTTCTTTGTTCTTTCAGAACTTTCCCATCAGAGTATAACTGGAAGCTTGGTGCTTCAGAAGTTTTTCTTATGCATCGGAACTTCTTTACTAGCGTGTCACTCTTAGTTTCGCTTTTGATCTTCTTATAAGCATGTTCGCTTCAGAGCTTCATATTTGGTCATTCAGGTCATTATCCTCTTAGCTTTCATCAGAACTTCTCTGTACATTCAATCAAACGATTAGAATGCATAATTGTTCTTCATAATAATTATTTATTTGTTATCATCAAAACTATGAATTAGATGTAGAACCAAACTATGTTCTAATAATATTCCCCTTTTTGATGATGATAAAACTTATATATTTTGATGAACAATTTATAACTTAATAGTAAGACTTATTATCAGAACTCCCTCTGAGTTGAATACTCAGATAAAGTAGAAAAGATTATGAGTAAAAACTTCCCTGGAGATGTTTGCTCGTCAGATGTTGTTCAGAGCATACGATGGAAGATCTGAGAAGCCTATGTTGAAGGCTGGTAATGCATACTAAAAGTTTATAGAATATTATTCCTGTAAACTTTCAGAATCGAAAGTTACGTTATATCAAAATGTTCGAGACTTAATCCAGAACTGTTATATCAAAATATTTTCACTTCTCCCCCTTTTGTCATAAATTAAAAAGAATAAAATAAGGAAAATATAAAAAAAACACGGTATCAGAGCAACAAAAGTCATGTATTTAAAACGAAAACGATCATACAGAAGATAAGCAAAACAAAACATCAAAACAACAACAAGATAAAGAAATAACTAAATCTAAGGTTGTAGAGGTGGAAGGCGTGTGAAAAATGCTTCCAGAAGACCTTTGATCTGAGTGTTGGATTCTTTTTGTTTTCTCAGCATTCTATTAATATTTTTGTTGGTTTCATCTTGTTTATCCAACCTTTCCGTAACAACCTTATTCTCTTTCTTCAACTCATCTAGAGTTTTCAGCATGAGAGAAGTTGGCGCAGTTTCTTCAACAGTCACATTCAAAGAAGATTCTTCAACCGACTTTCCTTTGTCTTGGTAAAAGACTAGAGGTTGAGGTTCAGGAGATGGTTCTCGAACTTCTAGTTTCTGTATAAATTCCCAGGGAGCGTTATCTAGTTGTAGAAGAGGTTTCTTTTCCCAGAGTTTCAGAACTTGATCCTTGAAGGCATTTAGCTGATTAGAGAAGTTCTGCTGAGCATACTCATAGCTAAGTTCCTTTAACTTGATGGATTCATAATTAAACCATTTTCTAAACTGGGTTCAGAGGGAGTCATAAGAAGTTGGGTTTAGATAGTTGATGCGAACCAGCTTCAGAGTATATACCCATTCCTGCATTTCTATTTCAAAGTCTAGCAATAATTTTCCAACATGTGGTTTGGTTGGTTTTGGTTTGGGTTTTGGAACAACTATTTTCTGGGAGGAATTAATTAGGTTGTTAAAGGCTTACCGATCAACTATAATTCATAGACGATATTCTGATTGTTCTATGAGAGTGTGATGATCTTGGGAGTTATGAATAAAGATATGTGAGTTTGGTGCTGATGTATGTGGAGAAGGAGTATCTGGGATGATATGGGTTTTCTGTGATTGAGGGATGATGATATTTTGTGGTTCAAGGTTGTTGAGAGGATATGTTATGTCTGGTATTTCTAGTGTTGTTTTAGGCATTTGTTGTTTAAAGGAAATATTTGGATTTTCTAGTTCGGAATCATCAATGAATGGATCACACTGCTCAACATCAGAAAGAAGTTGGGAAAGTTCTGGCTGAGTTTGAGCACTATAGGTAGAAGGTGAGTTAATCAGAGTTTGATTAGTGGTTATGGTGGTGTTGGTTTCAAATTAAAGTTATCAAAAGTTTTTGGTGAGTGATGTTCAAAATGTTTTGGAGATGAAGAGGGTTTAGATGTTGATAAAAGTACTGATCCAACAACAGAGATGAAAGAAGAAGTACCTTATTTCTTGTTAGCTTTAGGAGTCTTCTTATAAGTTTCTTCACCAACAACTTTCCTTTTCTTTGACTTTCTGATGAGTACCTGGTGGTTGAGGAAGATTCTGAATGTTAACATCATGAACATTTCCATCTCTTTTGCAAGCATCCAGATATCTGACAATGATTTCAGGAGAATCTATTTGAGTAAAGAGGGGAAAGTTGTCCAGAGGAATTTTTCGAGTAGAGATAACTTCCTTTACGATATGGGTTGGGTTCTTCTTGATTTGATCTATGATCTTCATCTTTTTGATATTTTTGGCGTTTAGGGTTTTTCCAACGCAAGTTTCCATCTCACTTAATTGTTGAGCTTCAATCAGATGTTCTATCAGTCTATTTTCTATCAGAATATCTGAGATCAGCCTTCCAAATGGAATCCAATCTCTTTTGTTTTTATCGTATTCTCTTGTTTCCTTGACTATGCTCTTAAGATAATTGAACAAAAGGAATGGAAGGTTGATTTTGACCTTGGTAGCAATGAAGTACATAAGATATTGTTGATCAATGTTGATGTAGTCAGGAGAGCTTATTGATTTTCTGTGATGAATGCATCCAAGAATGATTTTAGCCCAGATTATGAGATAGTCTTTTATATCTTTAATCTTGTTAGTGTGCAGTCCAGAAACAAAAATTTCTTGAGAAACTTTGTTCAGATCAGATCCTTTTTCTTCCATGTCACTACACTTGACTCCGGTTCCATGATATCCAATGAGAGTTGCAATGAGTTTCTCAGTAATGATGATCTTCTTCCCCATTACAAACGAAGTAACTTGATGTTGTGACACTTTTGCATGAATCCATAATTCCTTAACCAGTATTGGGAAAACTGGACCAACTAACCTATCAAAGAAATTTGTCCACCCTTGAAATTCAACATCAAGAACAAGATCATATCCACTTTCTTGAATACTCTTGAAATCTA